TTCACAATGATTTATGACAAATGGTCTTCTTAATTCTTTTTCAGAATGCTTAGCTGCCTGAGGATTAGGTTCTACAGAAAAGTATATAAATATGAAAGTCTCCCTACTTCTCCAAAAAATAATTAATCTCTAAACACCTAAGTAAAGAACCAAATTTTCGGGCACTTCTCTTGAAACCTAAAATGCTAAATGACCTCGCACTGTTAGAAAAAAGTCTCTGACATATGTATTTCTATGTAGTCTGTGGAAGACTAAAACTATGCTTGAATTTGCCTCTTCTCTGATCAAAGTATAACTGGAAAGGAGTTTATCAAAATATTAGTGGTACACATATCCCAAATTGAAGCTCAATTTGATGGGTTTTATGTAAATTTCCAAAGCCTAACAATACTAAAAGGAACCTTGCTGATCAGCTGCTCCATATTTTCAAGGAGACAACTTTTGGAGACTGGTACTTAAGTACCATCAGGTAACTTTCATGTGTATGACCTCTTGCCAAATAATACAAAAAACTTAGGTTCATAACAGCAGCATTCACAGTAATCAAAAGGTGAAAGCAACTCAAGTTGCTTTTTGACAAATGAACAAAATGTTCTATCTATGCACAATGGAATTCAACTTTTAAAAAGGAAGCTCTCGGGGCTGGTGAGATGGCACAGTGGTCTAAAGCACCTACTTAGAACAAGCATAGCAAAGCACAGGGACCGCGGTTCATCCCCCAGCACCACATGGTGGACTGAGCTGGACACACACACACACACACACACACACACACACACATAAATAAAAATAAAGAGGATGAGAAGATTTAAAAAAAAATTTTAAAAAAAAGGAAGCTCTGTAGTATAAAACAATGTGAATGAATCTTCAGCATTATACTAAGTCAAATAATCCATTGCGAAAAGACAGAACTGTATGATTCCATATAGGAGATACAGAATTTTAAATGATAGAAAGTAAAATTATAGTTACTAGTAGCTGAGAGAAGGGAAAAGGAAAGTATTGTTTAATAGGTAAAGAGTTTCATGAGTGAACATGAAAACATCTGAAGACAATGAGGTTTGTGGAAAAATTGTGTGTGTGCATGTATACACACATATTACTATATACTCAAAATGGTCAAAATAGTAAATGCAAATCCTCACTATTAATCATGTAATCAATTACTGACTGAGGATTTTAATGTTCAGCTAGTTATCCAAAAAATCAAATACTTATATAGAAATAAATGATCTGGTGACACAGATGTCCTAGGTAACAAAGATAGAAGTTTATGTGAAATATCCATCTATCAGAAATATAAAAACCATGGTTTGTATTCAACTCATTATTTTATTTATCTGGAGATTTGAATATGGCTATTGTATTTAAAGATGATTATATTTTGAATTTTTATTTGCATGTGGCCTCCTTAATTAAGAACTCAGCTGTATCCTGAATTTAAGACACACTCATTACTATAGTTTTAAAAGCTATAATATAGGGCTTAGGGAGATAGCTCAGCAACATAAATGCCTGCCTAACAAGCACAAGGTCCCAAGTTCAATCCCTGGTACTGAAGAAGAAAAAAAAAACCTATAATACAAAAATCTTTGTTTTTAAATATTTAGCTTCTGTTCCTCAAGATTGCATAAAGAACTAATTAAATCGAGAGCTTACCAGAGAATAATAACTGACCTCTGTCAAATTGACCGTGGACTGTAGAAAAAAATAATGCAGATCCCTCCAAACTTTAATTAGCTAAGATATTTATTCCTTTATTGTTCCAGTTGTAGCAGAATTTTGCATATGTGGTACTGGGGTTAGAGCCCAGGACTTCTGCAGTGAGCTGCAATCCCCAGCCCTTTCTTTGGTTTTGAGATGCATTCTCAGTCAAGTTTCCCAGACTAGGCTCCAATTTGCAACCCTTCTACCTCAGACACCTAGAGTTCCAACATTACAGGGGTACACCACCATGCCTAGCTTGTAACAAAACTTTACAGTAGTTACTAATAAAAATCAGTCTTTAAGATTGAAGTTGCCTTATTTTAAGTCTCATTTAGTGGTGGGTATTTATGCTTTAAATACACTTGTCTGGCTTTCTTATGGTGTTATAATGAAAATTAATTCCAGCCAGGTATGATAATGGATACCTGTAATCCGAGCACTCTGGGAGACTAAGGCAGGATGATCATAAATTGAAACCTAGCCTGGGCAACTTAGCAAGACCCTGTCTCAAAGATAGAGAAAAAAATTAAAAGCACTAGCGATATAGATCAGTGTCCATGTCCTAGGTTCAGTTCCTAGTACTGCAAAACAAAAAAGAGGGTGGGGGCATAAGCTGTGATAAAAACAGTGAGTCAAGTCTGCGCTTGTTTCTCTGGGGAAACAGTTCTCAATTACTTTGAAATTAGATTTTCATGGTATATAAGGTACATAATATATAAAGTGAACTCACCTTGATAACAGTTAAACGTACTTACCTAATACTCTTCTAAAATTGTTAACATATTTCTCAGTTTACTGTGGAATAAAAGTAAGTACAGTGTCACCTCAGTTTATTAACTTAGTTGTTTCCATGTTCCTGGTCCCAAACCAAATTGGAGGAGAGCCAAATCAATTTCCCCATAAAGTCAACATTGAATCTAACCACTGAATTTGATTCAGTGTTCGTCTAATTCAATTTGCAACCAGAATCATGGAATTAAGTTTGTGAGTTCACAATAACTTTTATAACCTCTATACTCTTAATCCTTTTTGGAAAAATACTGTGATTTGAGAATTACTAGTATTTAGATTCCTTTTGTAACTTGACCCAATAGGAGTCTAACACCCAAGGAAGGGTATTGTTTGTTTGTTTTTAAATCTCCTAAGGCACACTAAAAAGGCTAACAAAATGTTACAAGAATTTAGATATTAATCCATAATTAGAATTTATTGTCAGGGCAGGGCATGGTGACATACACCTAAAAGCTGAGAATGAGGCAGGAGGATTGTTGAGAGTTTGAAACCAACCTGGGTTGCAAAGTAAGCTCAAGGCCAGCCTGACCTGCAATCTGTGGTTTTCTGGGTAGCAGAATGACACTGAAAAGGAGCTACAGGGCCAGGCATAGTGGCATATACCTATAATTCCAGGCTGAGACAAGAGGATCCTTGTGAGTTGAGACCAGAGTGGGCTATACAGTGAGCTCAAAGCTAGCCTCAGCTACATAGTGAGACCCTGTCTCAAAAAGAAAAAGAAAGGAGGGAGGGAAGAGGAGAAGAGACGAGAGCTATAAAGATGTAAGCATCAGTAATCAAGGCAAGAGTCAACAGGCACAGCCTAGTAATATAGGCATGACAGTTGATACTGCGTCCATACTTAGGGATATTTTTTAAGATTGTGAACACTTACTGCTTTCTGTCAAATTCATCATTGCTATCTATCAGTTAGTGAGGCCTTTGCTTGTAATATAATTTGCCCAGTTAGAGAGCATTCAAAATGCAAATACTTGTTTCTACTTCATGTATCACTTATGTAATGCCCAAGAAATGTTTCTTTTTTCTTTTACCCTCTGTGAAAACTGACCCAGGGATAAGTACCCTCATATCCAAAAACAAATGTGCAGGGTAAAAGGAAGACAATATAAATTGAATCCCTTGAAGAATTCTCTTACTTGATCCATGAAGTTTGGTTAGTGAGAAATTCTTCAAGGAACCAGCCATCCTAGGGCTGCTGAAAGACAGAAATCTGCCTGCAACCTGGGAGTTGAGTCGCTTGGATGAGCCCTTTCTCATCACTTCTGTTTGAAATGAAACTGACTGTAGCCTTCTTTACAAAATGTGGTCTTTTTACTGTCAGTACTTATAAAAACTACTTAAAAGCTGAAATCAGTGTCAAGAACCTCAAGGAGAAAGCAGAATTGGCATGTACAGTGAGTTACAGGCTCGGGCACTGGCAGTCTTGGCTGGGCTTGCAACTGTGACCTGGCTTCATAAAGCCACAGGAATGTCCATTCATCAATTAAGCAATATTTATTGAATAACTACGTGCGTCACACTTCATATTTCTTGCTGCTGCTAACAACCCTCTGAGATTTTAAGGAGGAAGAAAATAGTTTGCTATTTTAAAACCCAAATACTTCAAGAGAACTGATTTTGATTATTGATGTAATTAATGACTTTGAAAACTGGGGAAGTGAAAATGAAAAAAAATGACATTTTTCCTTAAGATAAAGCTAGTAATAGATAAATCCTAATAATAATAATCATACATTCAACTGATTATAATAGTAATTTCTGTTTCCAGTAATTGGATGTTTTAAAGTAGGTTACTAATTAGATTTGTTAAAACATAGCAAAGCCTTCTATACCTTCCTTTCTTAACCTGACTGTAAATTGAGATTTGGTCATTATTGATTTGAGCCTAGGAATAAAGTAGCTTCTGATTTTAAAAGAAGGGGCACTGTCAGTGAACCAAGTCTGTCTTACCAGAATGTATTCTTCAGGCTCTCCTGTTGTGCAAAACGGGGCTGTGGTTAAGGAGCAAACACAAGGACTTGAGCAGAGGGAGCCTTCACTAAGAGATGCTGACTGGCCACTGGAGCAGGATATGGAATGGAGGATTTATCCAGCTCAGTGGTGAAAACTAAATACCATAGCTAGGGTTAGTGTGATCTATTTAGCAAGGCAGCTTTATAAATAACATATATTCTTTTTATCACTTTTATAAGTCTTAGACTTTCTTTTGTGACAAAAGGGGTTGATTCTGACCATATTTCTGAGAAAACACTACAGTTGAGTAGATCTAACCTTATTTACCTTCAGCTACTGATATTACAGGAGTAAAGACCTAATTGTTGGCTCTACTGAAGTAAAGCACTTTATCTCACTATCTGACTCTCAGACACAATAGCATATTTTGTTTCCTTTGGTTCTTTTCTAGTGGACTTTTTTTAAAGAGAGGTCATTCCCTTATAATTCTGTTTTTTCTATTTTTACCATCATTGATTCCACAGACTTTTTTCTGCTTCTTCCACTAGTTTACTTCAGTGTCCCCAGCAGTTCCTGAATTCTTGAAAACTCCTCCCACTTCGGACCAGCCTTCTACAAGGTCCACAGCTCCTGTCCTCCCCGCGAACACTGTATCCTCAGCAAAGCCTAGCCCTGCACTGGTAAAGGTGGGTTCCCTGGGATATAGCATTGTGTGACTTGACTTATGAATGTGTGAGCCTGTGGACAAAGACAGAGGAATTTGTTTAAGTTATCCAACCTCACTCTTAGTCTGAATCCTTGGAAATTAAACTACGTAAAACTTAGTCCTGGAGGCTTTAGGTTTGCAGCTGCATCCTTCAGCACATGACTTATCATTCTGTAGTCCACAGAAGAGGTACAGAGTTTTGCCTGAGTAAAACTGCTAGGCTGTACAGCAAGTCTTGAGGAATCATCATGTCACCAGTAGACATTTCTGCCTTGATTTGGCCACTGGATGAAATGGAGAAACAGTAGGATAGAATTGCTTCAGCACTGCACTTGAGATCTAAGAACCTCATAATAGCTGTATGTGATGGCAGCACAGTTGTGGACGTTATGCACAGAATCAAACTCACGACATTCCAGAAAACTTACATGACAGTTTAAAGGGTTTACAGAACAAGTGTGTTTTTTGATTTAGCAGATTTGGCCAGATGAGGCTTGGATTATTCTCAGATAAGCTTCAACTTCATGGAACTGTTACCTGTATTTTGCTTGGTCAAAATGAGTCAGAATAGGGGCCGGAGAGGTGGCTCAGTGGAATAAGCACTTCCCTGGCAAGCGCAAGGGCCTGAGTTCAATCTCCAGTTCCATATAAATCAATCAATCAATCAATCAATCAGAATAAATTCCAAGAAAGAAGACAAGTTCTAAAAGACAGTACCCTTTCAAAGGTCTTGAAATTATATTTAAAACTCATAAATGAAATGGAGAGAGTAAACTGAACAGTAGTCTGATGATTACACTATAGTCATTTCAAAGGAGACTTTTACTAAAACTAGCAGAGTGCGTAGTTTTAGAACTAAAAGGGGACATAAAAGAGTTTGATGCCCTCTCCCACTATTTGTAGATGGAGACTGAGGTCCAACAAAGTTAAGGAGTGGCAAAGCTAGGAAGACCACTGCGTTCCAAGTTCTAGTCTAACCTTGCTGCCTTTTGCAGCACTCTTCTAAGGCAAAGGCAATTCCTTGTGATTAGCAAAATGCATATTCCTCTGTTAGAGCTGTCTTTTTCATTAACTATCCTAGTGAGAAAGTTCTCTGTCACTGTGGCCAGTGTCCATGGCTTCCAGCCATATATCATCATATTTCATCATTTTCCATTGCTTAGCATTGGAGCCAGAAATTCTGGAAGTGGCAAGTGGCAACTACCATTAAAATCCTATTCTAGCATCTCCAGTCATGTACCGGGGATGGCAAAAAGAATGGTCAAAGGCCAACCATCTTTTCTCCGTTGATACTAAGAACTCTCTCCTGGCCTCTCCCATTCTCTGAATTTCTACTGTTTGCTGATATCTTTCCATAAGAACGTCTTTGATTCTGGAGGAAGCAACATTGTTTAACAATATGAAATTCAGGGATTGAGTAGGGACTTGTAGGACTATGCCAAGTTAAAAAAAGAAGAGCTGCATATAATAGAGCAGATAATTCTTTCACCTTTTCCATATGAAAAGCTACTTCCCATGCTCACTTATCAAGATTTATCTTAAGAAATTGCTAGCTACTTTGTGTATGCCCCTCTCACAACATGTGCCTTCCTGACTGTGACTAGGTCTGTTGTTTCATTAGTGTGTAACATTGTTCTCAAACTTCTTATTTTTCCTGGTACTGGAATCAAACTCAGGACCTTGCACTTACTAGACAGGTGCTGTGCCACTGAGCTATATCCCTGACTCACAAACCTCATTTTGAATGCAAGTTATTAAAGACCCTGTTTGAAAAAACTGAAGTAAAATAAATAAATAAATTTATTTATTTATTTATTTATTTATTTATTTATTTATTTATTTATTTATTTTGGCAATACCAGGGATCAAACTTACGGCCTTGCACTTGCCAGGCAAGCACTTATTCAACTGAGCTATCTTCCCAGCCCTAAAATTTATTACTGATAACAAAATAAGCAGATGAAAGTGAGTAAGAATATTGTGAGATTACATGAGTATGCTTAAGCAAGAATGGTTTCTCATAGTGAGATATACTTAAAGTGCCTTATTATAGTGATTTCTAGCCAACATACACATTTATCTTTCTTATATTCAAAATAACAGATACTTTGAGCCATATCAGGCACTGTTCTGGATAGTAGAAGTAAAATAAAGCAGCAAACAAAATACCACAAATTCCTACCCTTGGGATGAAAAGCATAATAGAATGGTGAAGCATCACAGTAGAGTGGGGGTCCTGGGAAGTCAAGGGAGGTGCTTTATGTTTCAAATTGGTCATATGCATGTGTCACCAGAGTACTTTTTGAGTGGAGATCCAACCGGTGATGGTGCAAGCCATGAGGGCATCTATAGGAAGAAAAATTGGAGTCTGAATATGGAAGCCAGTATGACCTGACCAGGGTTGGCCAAAGATCAGAAGTAAGCCATGCAGCCAGGATCAGCCAGTGACCAGAGACTTTCAAGCCTGTGAGAAGTTAGGCTTGTCATTGCTACTGAGAAAACAAGCTGGTAAAAGAGTTTGGGCTGGTGCTAGAGAAGGTAGAAAGGCAAAAGGAGAACCACAGACCAGGTAAATGTACCATTCACCACAGGGGACAGTGGCAGCCTTGGTATGGGGGACAGGTTTAGACGTGGCTGGCTGTATTTAAAGGATAAACTGGGAAATGTTGCTGACCAGTTAGATGTTATATATGGAGGAATCATCATGGACCAAGTACAGTTTTGTTTCTAAGCAATTAAAAAGTTGTAGTTTCCAACTTCTGTGACTGGAAGGAGCATACCTGCAGTGACAGATGCCCAGGAGAGACACTGGGCATGTCTTAGAGGCAGCTGGGTAAAAGAGCCAGACTCAGAAGAGGGTTCCAGAATCAGACAGAAATGTGAAAGTCATCACTGAATTCACAGGCTTGAATGTCACAAAATCCAATAAAACTACCTACCATTTCAGTGTAGCAAAAAAGAGTACAAGAATTGAATCCATAAGCTTGTCAACTGTTTCAGAAAATAGAAGGACCACAAAAGAAGCCTGGGGGAAAGCAGCAGGTATAGTAGAAGAAGGAGGCTCAGAAGGCAAGTGAGGCCTGTCCAAGAGGGAGAGGTCATATGTGTCATTGCTGCTGTGGGTCTGTTAGAATAGGTGCAGGAACTCCTTTCCAAAAGCAGTCTCTTGAATACTAGAGGCACAAACTTGGTTAGAATGGAAAGAGAGAGACAGAACTGGAGGTGACGTCACAGAAATCTTGTTTTCACGACCTTTGTTGGAAAGGATCACGAGAAAAGTCTGTAGCTCGACTAGAATGTGGAGGTCAAGAAAGGATGTTGGTGAGCTCATAGGGAGGAACCCAGGAGAGGGGCAAGGGTTCGCAGAACAGTCACCATGTGTGGGCGAGAGAATGTGGACTCTGGCTCAGGAAGGAGTTGCTGGGCTGAGGCAGCTGGACCAATCTGCAGCCATAGGAAGGAAAACCATCTATAAGCATTTAGGAATAGGCAGGCCGTTGGGAATGTATAGAAGCTTTGCATTCATTTATTTACCCAGTATTTAGCAAACAATGGTTTCAGTTGACAGCATGGGTGAAGTACTATGGGCTTGAAGAGAGAAGGAAAGATAGGAGGTGATATTCTAGAAGAGTAGGAAAATAACTGGACTAAAAGAAATATAATAGGATGACCATGTGAGACCATATAAGCTCTTGAAGGTGAGCTTATCAATGATCAGAAATTTAAATATAGACATGTCTACATGGTTTTGTTTTCCTGCAGCACTTTTAATTACATAAAAACAGCCATGGAGTAGACCAACAGAAGTAATCTACCCTCACCCCAGGAACATTTGGCAATGTCTGGAGACATTCCTGGTGGTCGCAATGTGGGAGAAGGATGTGGCTACTGGCACCTAGTGGCAGAAGGCCAGGATACTGCTGAACATGTTATAGTGTACAGCACAGCCCCTGCAAGGCTTACCACTTCACAATGTCAATAGAGGCCCGGTAAAGGAACCCTGAAATAGAGAACTAGTATATGGTCTGGCCAAGTGAACATGGCAAAATGTGGGCATTGCATGTGAATAGTAGTCGGGTGATATAGTCATGTAGAAGTGAAATGCAGGTCAGTGTAAAGATAGTAAGAGAAATGGACTGATATGACTCAGTGACATCAAATAAATGCTGAAGATGGTGTCCTGCATGGAGTAAATTGGTGTTTGTTAGATTAGGATGCCAGGAATTGAGACAATACAGTTCAGGGAATGATAAAATCTAGGTTATAACCACAGCAGTGAGTAACTAAGGGAGAAGATGAGGTATTTAGAGGAAATGGAGTTGAAGTACTGAGAGACCAAATGTTAGAAGGATTATGGATGTGAATTTAGTCCCCAGAAACAATGATGTGTCAGAGAAAGGAAGAAGGGAGTAGGTAGTTGCAATACTCAATAAATTTAGAACTGAAAGAAGATCAGGTCCTGTTTTCAAGCCTGAGAGTCAGGAAAAATCCTCTCCAATGCATATTTACTGTTTACAACTCCTTATTAATGAGTGTTCAGAAAATATGGTACTAATTAAGTAGATTGTCTTGCCAGTAGTGTGCTAGTAAATGTGTAACAACTTGGCTGGGGTCAAAGGGCAAGTTATTGCTTTTGCCAATTCCCATGGTATAAATATTCCCACTATGACCAATTTCTCCAGCTACCCATGAAACATCACTGAATGCAGAGTTGGGAAAAGATACACATAATCAGTTCATACTACACAACTTACTGGCCCATAAACTGTTTTGTATCTCAGCCATAGAAAATTGTGTTACACAGTCATTTCTAGATGATAAGGGAAGAATCCACAACATGAAAATGAAGGCAAGAAAGTCACATCTCTCATAAGCATATATGGCATCATCCCAACATTAATACATGCATAGAAAGATGTACAAAAGATTTTATTTGGGATCTACATGCTATGGTGATTTGGAAGTAGTAGGGTTTGTTTGTTTATTTTTACAATTTTCTAATTCTTTGGATAGAAGCATCTATAACATAATTAGTAGCATGATTGAATGTAGCTACATTTAATATATCTCATCTTTTTCATTAATTTGTATGTTAACTAAAGCAGCTTAAAAATTTCTGATGCGTTATGCTGGAGGTTTCTTGGGATGACTTTTTCTTTTCAGATGAAGTTATCTTATTATCTGAATACTGAAAAGTAGAAAATTATCTGATACATTACCTGATTCATAGTCATAAGACAAGGAATGTATAGTGTCCAATTTTAAAAGTAAAAATAGAGTGTTTTTTTAATGTTGAAGCTCATATGACTAAATACTTAAATGTTATTTCCTTGGAAACAGTTTTATAGTCTGCTTTACTCACTGGAAGCATTATTTATTTTTGTTTTTACATAGTCCCAATAGGTTTTTAAAAAAATATTACATAGTGAAATATACTTAATCTTTTCCCTGATGTGTATCTATTGTACAACGTGTTCTTCAATAGGAAATAATACATGTAAGCAGTTAGCAGTGTGTCCACACAGGAGACCAAAAGTAAATGTTTGTTGAATATGGGTAGATAATCGAGGTTAAGCATCTTGTTGTATGCCAAGGGAACAAACACAGCAGATTTCTTGGTCAAAATTAGTATGCACGTGTCTTCATGGATCTTTGAAGTGTATCTAGTATATTGCTTTTCAAAGTAGGGACATTAAGCTTTTTGTATTTTGTTTTTGTTTTTTTGAGACAGGGTCTCGCTTTGTAGTTCAGGCTGGCCTAATGAACTCATGGCAATCCTCCTGTCTCAGCCTCCTCCTAAGTGCGCCACTACACCCAGCAGTAGCTACATTAGTTTCAAGGGTACACTGTTTTTTATTTTCAAATAAGAGATGCACATTACAGTCAATTTCACAGAATGACATCTCTTAAAATACTTTCCCCCCCACCCGCCAAAAAAAAAAAAAAAAACAGCAAAGCAAAAGAAAAGATAGAAAGAGCACACGTCTGAACTCCAGTCACGCCGCAACATCTCGTATGCCGTCTTCTGCTTGAAAAAAAAAAAAAAAAACAGCAAAGCCATCCCAAGAATCCGAATGACAAACACCGCAGCAAAAAGTGCAAAGATCCCAAACCCCGGGTAAAGAAGTTAAAGTACCACCAGTACATTCCACCGGATCAGAAAGGTGAAAAGCATGAGCCTCAGATGGACTCCAACTACGCCCGCCTGCTCCAGCAGCAGCAGCTCTTCTTGCAGCTACAGATCCTGAGCCAGCAGCAGCAGCACTACAACTACCAGGCCATCCTGCCTGCACCGACCAAGTACGGGAGGGTTCATGTGTGTCTTGAGTGGCTTGTACTATGGTTTTTATGAAAAGTTAAGTCAGATGTAGTGACCTGTCTGTGCTCAGTGGTTACTTTCACTCTGTTGTTAGTATAAAGCTTCCCCTACAGTGTTTGAAGTCATGTAGTGAGGATGGCCCGTGTTTCTGTATGGCTTTTACTCTTCATAATAGGTTTATTAGAAATGCCTTTTCACAATTACTCATCCAGGAAAGATCTGCTTATTGTAATTCAAAATAATATTTGATGCCCAGAAAGAAGCATGAACAGATTCAAAGAAGAGAGATGTTCATAAAAGCAGGAGTAGCCAAGAACTTTGTAGAATGGCAGCACATTTCCAGGAGAAGGCTTGGGAAGTCCAGGGAATGTTAGGAACCCTAGTGTAGAAAAGGGTAAGCAGTGCCTGCGCACTAGATAGTGAGAGCAACTGCCTGAATGGAAAATGCCATTGACTATTTTGAAAAGGAGAAGACAAAAGAGTAGAGCCAGTGTCTGCAGGGACTTGAAGCTGGGTAAAAGACTTTACTCATTGTGGTAGACAGTGGTATATCTCAGAGGATGGTGGTGATGTGGCAAGACTGAACTCCCTAGAAAGAACAGCAGGATGCTGGCAGTGAAGGACAGTCTGGATGTGGGAGAGAGGACAAAAGGACACTGATTATGGAAAAGAAGGACCAGGTAAATGAAGGTTTAGTGCCCAACAACTGTGGAGAAAGAGTAGGTTTCCAGAGTTTGAACCCAATCATGAGTGACCAGATGGAATTCTGTCACTGAATTCATAGCAAGACATCTATAGCTGGTTTTAGTTGTGTAAAGAAAGTAATTTCTTAATACGTTCCCAGCATATTCATTTTTGGACTCATAGGTTCACAAAGATCCTGTCCTTCCCTTCTTTTACTGTCCAGGAGAAAGTAAGATCTACAGCTAATGCTAAAGAAAAACCTCTAGAAAAAGATGCAAAAACTCATAAGGAAAAATTATTCTCTGATCAAGCTGTTCAGTTTATGGCCACATGATACATAGAAACTACTTCTGTTTCCTATTGGTAATCTTAAACTCTCCTTCAGGAGTATGCCTTGTTTTCTAGATGCAGCGAAGGATATAAATGCACTAAAAAGCTTCTCTGTGAAACAGTATTGCTTCATATATCAATGGTTACCCAATATTTGTGTCTTAAGGTATAACTATCTTAAGGAAGATTAAAACTAGTAGTAATTCAGACCTTATGGTAATGTACTTATCTAAAACAGGGTGTGGAGATGAAAAGAGAAATAATTTTGTACTATGCTGTTATTTTAAAGACAAGCAAGCATGAGTGTGCATTTGACAGTGGAAGGGGTCTAGGGAAGGCCACAGAGACTTGCAACAGTGTTCAAGACAATTACCATTACTTTACAGCTTCATCCAGGGCCTAGGCTACACCCTGCACTGCCACCTTCCCTGGGTGCTGGACAGCAGTAATGAGAAGAGCCACCATGGGAACTGAGTCTCCAGTTACCATGACTTAAGATGCACCAACATATCCTTAAACTTCACATCACCATCATCTTCCCTCCAAGTTTAGAAAAAATCTCTTATCAAACTGAAAATCTCATGGAGAATTAAGACTGTGTGGGGCCAGCATTCTAGAGGAGCACAGTATATCAGCTGAATTCCACTAGTCTTACCTCTTCATGGGGCTCCAGGCCCTCTCCTCCCTTTTTACTCCCCTCACTACAGTAACTCCACTCTACTCACCCTAGGGAGAAAGATTCAGAAACTGAAGATGATGAGCAAGCAAACTAGCTCAACGACTAAGTGCCTGCTTATGCAAGCGCAGGGACCTGGGTTCAATCCCCCGTACCACATGCTGTGCCAACCCTGCCCCTGGGCACACTGAGCCGGCCAGAGTCCGGGCGTGGTGGCGCACGCCTGTAATCCCAGCACTGGGGAGGCTGAAAACAGGAGGATCACTATGAATACAATCTGTGTAGTGAGACCCTGTACCAAAAAAAAATTTTTTTTTTTTTTTTTTTTTGGCAGAAACTGAGAGGATGAAAGAACACTTACTTTGTGTGATAGGGGTGGAATGAACACAAGCCTGTCTGGTTTCAAATCTTAAAAATCCAGACTTGTTGTTTTGAAACTGTTTCATTGCTATTTTATCTTTTTTTCTCATTAAAATGAATAAAAGATAAAAAATCCGGACTTGTTTTCTAACATTTTTTTATCTTTATCAAAATTGTATTACAAAAAAAGTGACACCTGTAGCACCCATAGCAGTGGTTAAAAAAAAAATCTGTATTATGTGGCCTTTTGGTAACATGGAAGGAGCAAGCAACTGGGCTATGGTTAAACCCACCTTGGCCACACATTGCAGGGTGATAGAAGGCCACTTCATCTCCCAGAAATCCAGTCTCTCATCTGCACATGGATCATACCCACTAGCTCCCTCTCCTTTTTTCTTCTGAATTTGGGAGGAAAATAAATTATTTCTGATATTTTAGAAGTTTAATTATAAACAGTAAGTCAAAGTCATAAGTTGAATGTTGTAGAATCTCAACCAAAGGATACAATGGAGAATTAAATCATGCATTCTCCAGGGGCCAGTCACAAGGGACTAAGAGGTAATTCAACACAAGGTCTATTACTCTTTTTTAAAGCACAGGTATACATATAGCACATAAACATATGTAGTACATATGTGACATTAAGCTGTGTGGTAATGGCAATTCAGAAAGAAAGAAAAAAATTCATCTCTAAGATTAAGTATTTAAGTAAAACTTAGACAAGTTTTTATTTTAAATTTAAATCTGAAAATCTATAATTGTGATAGATTATTTTAACATATCTTTGTGAGAAATGAACAGGATGATGATGGACAGTATACAAATTATTTTATAACAGGTAAATATTCCTATGAAACATCTACAGAAACTGTTTGACAAAGACATGCACACTGTTTAAAATTACATACAATGAAAGAAAATGGAAAGCATACTAAGAGGATATTCATTGGTGACAAGAAACACTTAACAGCCTGCTTGGTACAAGCAGGTGCTCATTCTTACAGTGTGCACCAGATCAGTGTGTTCACTGCACACTTAAGTAGCGGAACAAACTCTCATGTTGTCCTTTCTGACTACACCACTCTAGCTATCATGGAGGACTGAGAAACATGTAATACCTGACAACATTAACAAAACAAAGTGTTTACTACGTAAGTGAATACACCAAGGAATCAAGTACACCAAGGAATATTCTCAACCTTGAGTGTCCAAATTCACTGCCTAGTGTAGGCAGTTTTTTAAAGACCCTAAAAATGAACATGAAAAGTTAACTGTCAGTGAAGCCAGTGTTGGCTTCAACTGCAAGCGTCCTAAAGCTCCTGGGAGAAGGTTCATCCATTAGTGATTCTCACATAGATATCAGCTACCAGAAAATGCCATTGTCACCAGGAGCATCCCAGAGGAAGAAGTTGAAGGAGAGATCTTGCTCTGACATGGAAAAAGGCTTTAATGAAATGAGTGCACAGCACTTCACTGTAGAGCTTGACAGCTGGTACACAAACTTCTTACAAATACCCTATTAAATTTGAAGTATAACTTGCTGACAGAGAAGTCTTTAAATCATGAGTGGAAACACGCTGAAATAAACACATGCCTATACTTACAAGCCAACAAAGAAATAAAATACCATCATCATTCTCCCAAAAAGTCCCCTTTTAGTGTCTGTCCTGACTTCAGTCCCCATAGATTAGTGTAGTTTGGTTTTTAACTTCAGATATGTGAGTCTTACAATACCTAATTTCTTTTGATGAACATTGTGAGATGCATCCGTACTGATGCAAACAGTAGTTTATTTTCCATTCTAGTTAGTAGTCAATGTATAACTGTATCCATGATACCCTTTGTAGACAGCAGGTATGCTTTCAAATAGGGTTATTATGAGTAATACCATAAGTATTCTAATCTGTCTCTGTCATATGTACGTATGTTTTCCTATCATGTTTATGTAGGAAAAGAATTGCTAAGTCATGGGATGCACACACTTTTATTTAGTGTGTTCCTTTTATTTAGTGCTTTCTGTGTCCTGATTAAGAAATTTTTGTCCACCCAACGGCCATGAAGGTTTTACCCAAAGTTTTCTTACAAAAGATTATTGTTTTCATATTCACATTTCTGAAAATGAGTTAAGACAGCGTTTTTTTTTTTTTTTTCCTGTATGGCCGTCCAGCACCATTGATTGGAAAGACCATTCTCTCTCCACTGGTCCACTGTTTGGCAACATCGCCTTTTGTTATCAGCAGCCATGCCTATGAGGGCTGCTTCAGGATTCACTGTTTTCTTTGTCCATTGTTCTGTTCATGCATCAGCCCTGCACCATTGTAGTATCTGCATTTGTAACACACATTAATACTGGGGTATGGTTCTTCCAAGCTGCTTTCTGTCTTCAAGGATGTCATGGCCATTTTTGGTCCTTTGCATTTCCACATAGAGGTTAGAATCACCTTCTAATTTTCCACCAAACAAGCAAACAGAGCCTTCAGGGATTTTATTGAGACCTAGCTTACCTTATTTCTTTACAATACTGAGTCTGCTAATCTATAACCATGGTCTTCCTCTCTTCATAAGCTAAACTGTTAAGAAAAGCAATAAAGAACCTAGAAATTACTTTATTATAAACTAACTTTCTTTTTCATTTGAAGAAATGACAAAAATAGTAGCAGTGGAAATTCATCCTTGAATAGTACCACGCCCAACGCACCAAGACAGAATACATCTGTTCCTGTGAGAAAACCAGGACCTCTGCCCCCTAGCTTGGATGACTTAAAGGTGATAATTCTATGTAGACATACTCATCTGTAAGTACCACAAAAAATGTAAGCAAAGGGCAAGGTTATTAGAGGTACATGGTTTTCAGTAGACATTCAACTTTAGCAGCAATATAGCTTTTTCTTTTCTTTTCTTTTTTCTTTCTTTCTTTCTTTCTTTCTTTCTTTCTTTCTTTCTTTCTTGTACCAGGAATTGAACTCAGGACCTTGTGCTTACCAAGCAGGCACTTATGCCACTGAGCTATCTCCTTGACTATGATAGGCTTTATCAAAGTATATTCTTTTTACTTACATTGTTTCTTTCAAAATGACTAGTAATGACTCAGCTATTCTCAGGTACCTTTTACAGGCAACAGAGTAAAGACAAGACCATTTGCTAATTTTTATTACAGTGTATGATAATTAGTGATTGTTTAGTCTCTTACTGTGTCTTATTTTTTAATTAAACTTTATGGTAGCTATGTACATTTAAGGGAAAACACAGTATGCACAGGGCCGGTGCTCTCAGCAGTTTTCCTGCATCCATCAGTCATCTGCTGTGGTAGGGGTTGGGGTGACTGTGTACTGTCAATTTGCCAGAAAGTTATAAACTGAGAGATTTGTTCTGTCTGCATCTCCAGGTATCAGAACTGAAGACAGAACTGAAGTTGAGGGGTCTGCCAGTGTCGGGCACCAAACCAGACCTCATTGAACGTCTGAAACCCTACCAGGAGGTGAACAGCAGTGGCCTTCCTCCTGGCAGTATTGTGGCAGTGTCATCAGCAGCCATCGTCACCAATAACCCAGAAGTCACCATGGCATTGCCAATCACAACACTACATAATACTGTGACTAGCTCAGTTTCCACTTTCAAGGCAGAATTGCCAGCTGCTGTGCCTAGCAGTGTAGCCCATGTTGAAAATCTTCATTCTCCTCTGCCAATCTCACCATCACCTTCTGAACAATCTAGTGTCAGTACTGATGACACAACCATGGCAGACACCTTCACTGAGATCATGACCATGATGTCCCCTTCACAGTTCTTATGTTCATCTCCCCTGAGAGTGGTAAACCATGAAGATAGTCTGAGCCCCACCAGCAGCACTCTATCAAGCCTGGAACTAGATGCTGCCGAGAAAGATCGCAAGCTTCAGGAGAAGGAGAAGCAAATTGAAGAGCTAAAACGGAAACTGGAACAAGAACAGAAACTTGTGGAGGTTTTGAAGATGCAACTTGAAGTTGAAAAACGAGGACAGCAGCAGCAGCGGCCACCAGAACCCCAGCCCAGTACCACTGCTCATTCTGCTGGCACATCAGACCAAAAGCATGGCATCGGACCTTCCATCAAGGACGAGGCCTCATTGCCTGACTGTTCCAGCTCCCAGAAGCCCATCCCAGCAGCCAGCCACTCTGTAGGCCAACCCATTTCTGCCAGCGCCCAGACCCTTGTAGCCAAAAAGGCCATCGTCATCAAACAAGAGGTCCCTGTAGCCCAGGCAGAGCAGCAGAGTGTAGTTTCACAGTTTTATGTGAGTTCCCAAGGACAGCCACCTACTGTTGTTGCTCAGCCCCAGACTTTGCTCACCACACAGACTGCTCAGCTGCTGCTCCCAGTGTCTATCCAGGGCTCCAATGTCACCTCAGTGCAACTCCCAGTAGGCAGCCTCAAGCTCCAGGTAGGAGGGTTTCTCACAGCTTTGCCTTATTATAGCTAGTGCTAGAATCATTCCCTGAACTTCTCCATAATTGCATCCACCACAGGCTTCACAGTTGTACAAAATGGGTATTCATATGGAATGAATAGCCCACAAAAATGAGCTAGGTCAGCTGGTACATACTTATAATCCCAGGTTCTTCAGAAGAGGCAGGATAATCATTTGGAGGCCAGTATGGACAGTTCAGTGAGATCCTGTCTCAAACATTTTTAAAAGGGCTGGAAATGGGCTGGGGAGATAGCTCAGTGGAATAAGCGCTTCCCTGACAAGCACAAGGGCCTGAGTTCGATCCTCGGTACCACAAAAAAAAAAAGGGGGGGGGGCTGAAAATATAGCTCAATGGTAGAGCACTCACCTAGCATGTGCTAGACTCTTGAGTTCAAGCCCCAGGTCCCCTCACCAAGATAAATAGCACTATTTTTATATTTAAGAAAAACTTTTTGTATTTCTGTCCCTCTTTCCCTTCAGTGCACACAGTTGCGTGTCTAGACATCTGAGACCAGTGCCATTATCATAATGATAGCATCTGCTACTGTTGAACACTATTTATATGGAAGGCATAACATTAAGAACGTACAGCTTGCTTCGCATCACCCTGCCTTCCCTAGCAAAGCCAAGTGCTATAGCCCATTTCTGGACAAGGAAACTAATACCTAGAAAGATTTCTAAGTTCTTCAAGGATAGAGCTGACATTTAAACCTAGATTTTCTTACTTGCAGAGAGTTTGCTCTTTAGCCTGTTCTTATATTCTGCTTCCCAAGCTTAGTTTTTGGAAGGTGCCCTTATTGTGAAAATACCTGAATTAAGGGATTGTGACCACAGTTAAAGAAGTATTATTGAAAAAGATAAAACACAAAGAGCGTGAAGTTCTCTTTCACCTGTATAATGTGCTTATTCACCTTAAATTCTTGTGGAACACAGTTGTGGTAGGTTTTAACCAAAGGTTAAACCATTTGGACCACTGTTTTTCAATCTGATTTTCACTAAACAAGAAACCATTTGGACCACTGTTTTTCAACCTGATTTTCCAAATACCTGTAACAGCTAAAAGAAATCATATCATAGTCCTGGGGTTAGGAGGCAAGGGCCTAAAGTCCTTTGGCAGGTGCAACACATCTAACTTTTTTTTTTTTGTACTGGGGATCAAACTCGGGACCTTATGCTTGCTAGGCAGGCAGGCATTTATACTACTAAACTATCTCCCTGGCCCCTATCTCTTTTTATCTGTAAAGTTGAAAGTCTGTTCCAAACCTTAAAGTCCAAGTTTTACATTAGAGTTGCTGTTATAGTAATATAAAGTATGTTATAGCCTGGGCTTGTGTGTACCTAACATGTTACTGGCTGTCCCTAGAGAATGTACAATATATGCTGCAGCTCAGAAACAAAAATTTGAGCAGTTGGATATCACAGTTGCTATTCAGTGTGTTATAATATTTGAACTTTTATATACAGTTACTATATACCCTTGTTTTGGTTTTTGGTTTCCCTAAACTTTTCAGGTAAAAATCTTAGCCATGTAAGGAATTAATGAGGTTGATCAGTGGGTATTAGGTACTGTTACTTGAATAGGAACACGAAGTTCTGGTGTTCTGTTCATAGTAGAGTGACTAAAACAGCAGTTATATATGGTATATTTCAAAAAGATAAGTAGTAATAGTGTGCTGGGAATATCGTTTATTTGTAGAGTGCTTACCTAGCCAGTGTAAGGCCCTGGATTTGACCCCAGTAACACATCCCCCCCACCCAAAGAAAAAGGTGTTTTTTGTTTGTTTGTTTGTTTGTTGTTTGTTGTTGTTGTTGTTGTTGTTTTGGGGTTTTTTTGCGGAACTGGGGATTGAATTCAGGCCCTTGCACTTGCCGGGCAAGCGCTTATTCTACTGAGCCATCTCTCCAGCCCCAAGAAAAAATTTTGAGGCTGTAGATACATTTAAATGTATCAAAACACCACATGGGACCTATTAATATTTTATGTATCAGTTAAAATTGTAAATTTAAAAAAAAAAGAATTGCTAAGATTTAGACTTACACAGATGAACTGAAGTATGTATCTGTAAGCATGATCTTATTTCATTGTAGATGATTCCCACATGACCAGTTATTCTGTGCCTAACCTCTTGATTGCAGGTCTGTTTCTGACAGTGTTACATTGCTTTCTGTTTATCTCCCAGACTACACCACAAACAGGAATCCAGACTCAGCCTCAGATTGCAAACTCTACTCCAGTACCAGCTGCAACCTTGTCCTCGGGGCTCGCTCCCACTGCACCTCAGAAACAAGATGCTTTCCCACAGCATGTCCTCAGCCAGCCTCAACAAGTCAGAAAGGTTGGTAGATACTCTTGAGGACAGACTGTGGATGTCACCTGCTCACCCAGGACCCAGGCATGTCTCCAAGAGCATGTTTCTGGAAAGCCCTTGTGTCCTCTTTTCTGTGATCCAGCTGCCATAGGAAGAGCCCCAGATCAGGTGCATTTATTTGAAATTGAAGGAACTCTTTGGTACTAAAGACTGTTGAAAATAGTGAATTCTCTTTTCCAAGTAAAAAGCATATTTTTACTCCTCATATATTGAATTTACTGAGTTCTAAAATAAATTTTCAATTAAATGTACTATTCCCTGGGAAAAGATTTGAAAATGAAAAAGATATTTCTGATGTTGCTATCTCAAGTGAGATCTTTCTATCTATGTATATTGGTGAGAGCTTGTGGTCAGGAGCCAGGAGGCTTTATTATAGCAGTGTGCCACCTCTGCGATCGTGGCCTCCTGCAAAGTTCATTTGCTCCAAGCATTCCTTTTCTCAGCTTTAACATAAAGGTACTGCTATAGACTCACCGTCCTCCACATGATTTCCTGCTCCAAATTCTGACATTGAATAGCCCCTAAATTAACAAAATTCCCTTTCATCCAGTAGGGGGAGATATGTGCACATCTTGCCAGAAAAATTTTCAGGCCTCAAAAACAGGTGTTTCTCATATTGTAAGCCTTGAGAAGTGTGAGTCCCTGAGTTTTCATGTTAAACATAAAAGAACCTAGTGATTAGGTACATCTGTCTATGCCTCCACCTGTGTGAACTGTCTGGGCTAAGCTTCAGGGATAGACAACAGCAATCACATTAACACATTAGTTCTCATTCAGAACTATACCTGTCTTTCAATTAATGTAGTTCAAAAGAAATCATAGGGCTGGGGAGATGGCTCAGGAGAATAAGCGCTTCCCTGGCAAGCACAAGGGCCTGAGTTCAATCCCCCATTCGGTCAAAAAACAAAAGAAATCATAGTTGTATGTTGCAGAGTTTCAGAACAGCTTAGTTTAATAAATGTTCTTTAATGTACAGAGGAGAGAAAAACAACATATAGACAGCTTAAGTAAGGGCTTAGTCACTAAGTCTCAAAATACTACCAGAAGAGGAATTATGACTTCCAGTTTAAAGAAAAAAATTTTATCAAATATAAGGAAATTCAACGTTTTCAAATTGAAACATATTTATAGAACTTCTCATCATAGAGGTAGTATTTCCTTTTTTTAGACTTCTTTTTTTTTTTTTTTTTTTCGGAACTGGGGATTGAACTCAGGTCCTTGCGCTTGCCAGGCAAGTGCTTATTCTACTAAGTCATCTCCCTGGCCCCATAGAGGTAGTACTTCTTAAGAAACATTTATGGGGGCCGGGGAGATGGCTCAGTGGAATAAACGCTTCCCTGGCAAGCGCAAGGGCCTGAGTTCAATCCCCAGTTCCGGGAGGAAAAAAAAAAAAAAAAAAAAAACATTTATGATAAAAATACAGGGCTGGAGAGATGGCTCAGTGGTCTAAAGCACCTACTTGAAACAAGCTTGGCAAAGCACAGGGACCGCGGTTCGATCCCCAGCACCACATGCCAGCCAGCCCCGCCCCCTGGTGGGCTGAGCTGGCCACACACACACACAATAAATGTAATAAATAAAAATAAATATTTAAAAAAATAAATAAATAAATAAATAAAAATACAGGGGCTATCAAGCATGTAAAGTTTATTTGTTCTGGTTTGGTTTTTGGTGCTAATTGTTTAAAACAGGATCTTGTTTATAGTTCAGATTGGCCTTGAACTTACTGAGTAGCGCAGGCTGGCCCCAAACTCTTAGTGATCCTCCTGGCTCAGCCTCCCAAGTGCTACGATTATAAGCATGCACCACCATCCCCTGATGTAAAATACAGTAATGTTTCAGCAGTATGGCCATCGTTTGTGAAACAGGCCCCAAAACTTTAGGCTCTGTATGGAGCTAAACAAAACATTCTAGCATTCTACAGAATTTTTTCTCACCTCTGCCTTACAGATCAGAAAACAATTCCTCAGACAGGCAGATGAAGTCAAGAGAGCTAATGGATGTGGTAGCTGCTAGACCAGGATGTGATTTCAGGAGCTAGGGGCTCTGGCAGTGTGCCAGGGGGACAGTGCAGACCTGGACTAGTTCAGCCCAGAGCAGAGCCCTAGCTCTGTTTCCTAGGAAGTAGAAACAGTGGAGTTAGTGACCGGTTGACACCGCTCATCAGAGTATAAGGGGAAAAACAGAAGCAAAACCAGGAACTGCTATTCCTACAAGGCTGGGTATAGGGAGGAAAGTAGAAAGTTCAGTGTGGGACATTCTGAGTTTGACATATGGAAGTACTCACCTCTGCAGCACAGACAGTAGAGGTAAGTGGGGGTGGCTGTGTGCCACTGAACTACAAAAGCAGGTGGTGGGCAGGGTTTGACTTGTCCATCCCTGTATTTTGAACATAAGCAGCTTCAGGGAGGATGATGCAGGTATAGATTTGGGAGCAGATGAAAGTAGAGATGTGGGCTAGGGGCATTGTTAGCTTTTTCTGTTAAAGTTACAGGCATGAGAATAGAGGAATGTCTAGAATCCAGCTATCATTTAGGAGGAAAATCATGAGTAAACACTTCCTTAGAATGCTATCTGCTCAGTCACCAAAGACAAGTCATTGCATGGAGAAGCTGCTTATGCTCAAAATACAGGGATGGACAAGTCAAACCCTGCCCACCTCCTGCTTTTGTAGTTCAGTAGCACACAGCCACCCCCACTTACCTCTGTTGTCTATACTGCAGAGGTGAGTACTTCCAAAAGGAACTACATGGTCCACTGACCTTAAATCTAGCACTGTACGCCCCTTTGCAGAATTTTGCTGAGCCCTTCATGTGTCTTTCTTCATTAAGATAAGCAAAAGAACACATTGATGAAGAAATACTTATTCATTACAGGTTTTCACAAACTCAGCACCAAATCCAGTTCTTCCGTATCCAAGACAATCTGCTCCAGCAGTCCAGCAGCCCTTTATTGCTAAGACCTCCAGCAGCGGTCTTCAGTCCAGAACCACCCCACTCCCTTCCCTGCAAAATGGACCCAACACTCCCAGCAAGGTACTGCTGTGTGCCCACAGTCCCCACAGTGCTCACTGGGGTGCAAGGAGCTTTTGACTGGGAATGACTGAGTGTCAGTATTGATAGAGGCCGTAGTTTAAAATGCAGTGATCACACTTTATCAAGAGGAGTTCAGCTTGAGATCGGGCATGGTGGCATGTGCCTGTAATTCCAGCACTGGAAAGGCTGAAAATAGGAGAGTCACTGTAAGTCCAATCTGCGTAATGAGACCCTATACCAAATTCATTAAAAAAAAAAAAAAACCCTCAGCTGTGGCTGTACTGCAGACACATCCTCCACTTAGGGCCACCAGAAGGTCAATCACACATGCTTAGGAAGCTATTTGTGGGTTCTCTGCTTTAGCTCTTTTGGAAAAGACAGCAAAATTGAGTCTTGCGAGGTTAGAGCCTATTGCCAAGAGCTAACACATGTTCCTCCATTGTGTGTGACAGCCTAGCTCACCCCCACCACCCCAGCAGTTTGTTGTCCAGCACTCTCTCTTTGGGACCCCAGTCACCAAGACAAAAGACCCACCCCGCTACGAGGACGCCATCAAGCAGACACGAAGTGCACAGTCATCCCTTCCAGAGGTAAGTGAGGGCAGAGGCAGTGGTTCATAATACTTACGTTTCATGTCTCGCTTGCAAATTTTGACCACTGACTCACTTGTCTAAAACTGACTTGCCTAAGTAGAAACACAAAGATAATGGCTAGGAGCCTTATGTTTTAACTGGTTATTTAACATTAAAATGTCATTTATTGTAAAGAACCCCGAACAGCTTCCCATACTGGTGTAACAGTGTAATTGCTACTTATTTAGAAATTCAGGGCTTGGAGTTTAACTTTTCCTTTGGGACAGAGGGTCAGTCATGTTAAAGGCAGATGTGAATGTTTCAAAGCATGAATTTTATTGAAGACCCTCATTTCTAAAGCCCCCATTTGTCAAGCATCATCAAAGTGAACTGACTGTCCTCTATCGAGCCACCAGTGAAAGATGCCCAGTTCCTCAGTGTCCTTGATTTCACCTCATCTCTTGTAGTCACTACAGCCCACACAGGTGACTGCAGAGATTGGGCAAGTTCATTTTGGACATGATAGATCTGTGGTTCTCCAGCCTTTGCCGTACCCAGTGTTTACCCATGACCATGGCCTTGGTCAAGGTGCTTGTCCCTCCTCTACGCTTTCCTTATTTCCCTGAGAAAACAAGAATAGTTGCAGCAGTCCCATCAGATGGGAGAAGTTAACAGTTCCTATTTATAAAAGCATCTGGCCCATAGTAAATACACAACAGTAGCAAAAACTTGTCATCTGTTCCTTAAACACTCTTCCTAGTCTCCCTGCCTCTGAAGCTCTTTTCAAAACTTAAAACTTAAACTTACTTTCAAGAGTGGACTCATAGCATAGGGGCCGAACACCACAGCAGGGCACAGCGGGAGCTAAGCCTGGGTATTATGGCAAGCAGCAGGAGTATCAGTGTAGTTGTGCCCCCCAGCCCTGTTCCATGTTCTATCAGGTGACCCACCTGGGCCACATGGTAACTATATGCAGTAGGTCATGCTACACCTAAGAAAGGTTTGGGCCAGGGGCTCAGCTTTTTCCAGCAAGCAACAGACAAACCAGCCCCCCTCAAGCAGGGAGTATACATAGCCATGTGATGATTGCCTGGACCTCCTCCAGAGCCTAAGTGTGCATCAGTAGAAACAGTAGCACCTGGAATAGTGTGCACTTCGGCACCCTCATAAAGGATACATAACTATGCTCAAGGCCATAGTGGACAGCCTAAAGAAGCAGTTACCATATATACTTCCTAATAGTCACTTAGTACCAAGGGAAAACAGGTCTTCTAGTCATAAAATATTTCCTTAGTTCCTGACTCAATAGGAACCTTCATGAGGGGAAAGCCAAATTTTATTTTATTTATTATTTTTTTTAAAATGAGTAGAATATATTTATTGAGAGAAAGAAAGCTCCTGTCCAAGAGAGGGACAGGAGAGGGGCCCAAGCGGGTAGTTCCCCGGCCAAATTCAAAAATAGGTTTAAATATCTGCAATAGGTGCTTCCAGGGTCTGTCTGGTCTCTACAGGGGAACAGGAATGAATTACCAAGCACTTAACTATAGATTTTAGAAAAATAAAAGACAGCATACATCCTTCCAAACCTGTTTCTCATGTGTAGGTTCATTAGTACTGCTGCCTTGATACAGATTAAAACACAGCCAGTTGGAATCCCTGGTTTCTACATGTTTCTGGGCTCATGCTTATGAGGGAGACAAGTTCACTTATCTGTACCACAGAGTAAGTTCCTAACATACAGACAAATTGTGAACTTTCATAGATATGAACGGGCATCGATGTATGAGCACTCATAGCCATGAGCAGGTCTTGGGAGTCGCTCACACGTCTGCTGGTCATTGTCCCAGCTGTGCTGCTGAGTGCTCTCAGTGCTGTGCAAGTGTGCAGTAGTGCAGCACTCATTAGAGTCCAGGGTGTCCGGAAGTGAGCGAGAGGACAAGCAGCAGTGATGTGGAGGGGACTGCATGGAAGGGCAAAGCAGAAGCCATGGGAGAAAAGTGCAAATAATTGGGAGACTGGACTGAGGAGAAAAGATGGTAGACATTGTTCATTAGTATAACATGAACCACTCAACCACTGGCACAGTTCTCAAGAATAAGGACAAGAGAGAAGCTGGGGAGACAGCTCAGTGGAATAAGCGCTTCCCTGGCAAGTGCAAGCAAGGTTCTGAGTTCAATCCCCGGTTCCACAAAAAAAAAAAAAAAAAGAATAAGGACAAGATCATGGGACATTTGAAGGTGATATGCTAATGAAGTCAACAGCAATATCCAAAAAGCGCAGTAAAGTCCTAGAGCAGATGAAGAGACTTCCCAGTATGTGGGTGCAGGATCTGCATCAGCATCAAGACCCACCAGCTTAATGCTTATTCAAGGAAAAGCCAAAAGCCTTTTTGAAGACTTGGAGAAAAAGCAAGATAAAAAGCAGTCTTTACTAAGACTCACTTTTTCAGACTTATGAACAAATCCAGTTTGAACAAATCTGACTTCAAATGTTCTCCTCAAACAAAACTTGTTCATAAGTCAGGGAATTTTTTATTTCTTTATATGCCACTGTGTACCCAAGTCCAGAATTCTGAGGTTCTTTAAAATATATTTTCTCAGACTTCAGTTCTACTAATGGCTAAATAAAGCCACAGTGGTTCTTTCACTCACTGGTTCATCCCACAGATAAAAGCTCAAAAAAGCAACTCTGAGTGAATAGAAGCAGTCATATTCTGGTGAGGAATCTACATCCACACACAAGGAAAGTTATGTGGCACAAGTTTCTTCTTTTTCCTATTTTAACTCTAGGGTCAAAGTGGCAGAGACACTGGTTGCAAAACTAATCTTTATGGACTAGAAGCCAGAGGACCAAGTTAAGCAGAGAAGAGAGCCCAGATTCTGTCTACATGTCTGGCTGACCCCTAAGTTGACCACAGAGCACTGCACTACTGCCAACAATTGCACGGCACAGTGAGCACACAGCAGCACAGCTGTGACGATGTTCATAAAGACAAGAATAGACTCATAGCATTTAATTGAGGATAAAAGTTATAAAATGAGATTGAGGCATCTACCCAAGAAAAATTTTTAAGTTAAAGTCCAACCAAGTTAATAGCTTGCTGAAACATCAAGAAAAAACACTGATCTGAGGGGAAAAAAAGAATCCACATCCATAATTTACCATGTATAATATCCATTTATATAATGCCACATTCAAAAAATCAGGAAGTGTCACCTATCTTCAGAGAAAAAAGGCCGTCAGCTGAGATGACACTAAACTAGATCTGAAAGCAGCTACTGTAACTATCAACCAATGATATAAACAAAATATACTCATAATGTATGAAAATACAGGGGATTTTAACAGATGTAGAAGTTACTTTTAAGGCATCATAATTCTATATTGGGATGAAAAAGAGAACAGATGAACTGAGCACATACAGATACCAAAAAACAGTGAATTTGAGGACAGATCCTGTTAAAACTTATCCAACCTGAAGAGAAAAAAAAGTAAATAGGCCCAGAGCTATTTTGTTATATCAAACTGTAACATAGGCAGAAGAGATATCCTTGAAAGAAGGAATGGAATAGGTAAGTATTTAAAGGACTAATACCAAGTTTTTCATAAATTCATAGTTGTGACATGTTGGATATATCAATAGAACGCCTAGTCACTTACAGTCAAATTATTGAAGGCATCAAGAGCAACACATTACACACAGAACAAACAACTATTTGATTAATGTAAAGTTTCCTTAAACTATGGAAACCAGAAAAGAATGTAACATTTATAAAGTTCTTAGTGGGGGGAAAGGTAGAAGGGATTGTCACCCAGAATTTTATTTCAAACAATATATCCTACATCTTTTAAAAATGAAACTAAAATTCAAGGGCCGGCCAGATAGCTCAGCAAGCTAAAGTGCCAATTTAGGCAGAGCTCAGGGACTGGGTTTTGATCCCTTGCGTGCCTTGCTGGAGCTGCACCTGGGGTGCTCTGAGACTGCAGTTGACACAGGCTGTGGTGGTGCGTGCCTGTAATCCCAGCACTTGGGAGGCTGAAAAAAGGAGAATCACTCCGAGTCCAATCTGTCTAATGAGGGGACCTGTCCACTAGCTCAGCTGTTTAAGAGCCTGCTTAAGCAAAGACAGGCTTAGGATACTGTGTTTCAGTCCCCAGATGGTCATGCCTTACCAGACCTGCCCTTAAGGCATCCTGAGCCAGCAAAAAAAAAAAAAAAAAAAAAAATCCTTCCAGTCTGTCTAATGAAACCCTGTAGACTCTGTACTAAATACATAAAAAAAAAGTAAACTCAAGATACTTTCAGATAAAGCACACTGCCTTGAGTTTATAATGTAGGTAGATATAATACTTAAAATTAGTAGAAAATGAAAGAGAAAAATGAATGGATCTATAAGGCCCCTACTTTTTAAGCAGTGGTACATTCAATAGTAAAAACAATATTATTTTAGGTTTGTTTCTTTTTTAATGTGTGTGTGTGTGTGTGTGTGTGTGTGTGTGTGTGTGGCCAACTCAGCCCACCAGGGGGCGGGGCTGGCTGGCATGTGGTGCTGGGGGATTAAACCACGGTCCCTGTGTTCTGCTAAGTTTGTTCTAAGTAGGTGCTTTAGACCACTGAGCCATCTCACCAGCCCCAAACTATTATTTATATCTGCAATAATGATGAAAAAATACAAGGCCAGCTAGATAGCTCAGTGGACTAAAGTGCTTTCTTGGGCAAAATGCAGCGACTGGGGTTCAATCCCCAGCATGCCATGCCAGTCCCATTTTTTTTTCTCTTCAGGTTGGATAAGTTTTAGGGATCTGTCTTCAAATTAACTGGGCGCATGCCTGTAATCCCAGCGTTTGGGAGGCTGAAAACAGAAGAAACAATATGAGTCCGATCTACATAGTAAGACCCTGTAGACACTGTACCAAATACAGAAAAATAAAAATAAAAAACAATGGAAAAGTACAACACAGTATAGCTTCAAAAGAACAGCAGTAGTGCTGGGGAGATAGCTCAGTGGCATAAGTATCTGCCTGGCAAACTCAAGGTCCTGAGTTCAATCCCCCGTACCAAAAAAAAAAACAGAAAAATTAAATTGGCATACCAAAACAAGCCAGGTGTGGTAGTACATACCCTTTAATTCTAGCACTTGGGAGCCCGGGCCAGAAGGAGCACTGTGAATTCGAGGCCATCCTGAACTACATAATGAGATCCTATCTCAAAAAAACCCAAAAAAGTAAAAATAATAATAATAATAAAAGAATGCCAAAAACAATTTTGAGAACAGAAAAAAAAAAAGACAACAAAGAAAAGATAAGATAGTGGTAAAATAATAAAATGATAGACCCAGATTTACCCACATCAGTAATTACAGTAAACACTAGTAAATTATTTTGTGAAAATGCTTAAGTTGACAAAATGGGTAAAAAATCAAGCTCAGCTAACTATATGCTGTGTGGTATTTTTTAAGATGGTTCTGCAAAGCCTTTGACATTTTTCCTTGGGTTGGATTTAGTGACTCATGTCTAAAGAACAGAAAAGGAAGGAGATACAGAGTATCTGACTTCAGATACTAGATCAAAACAGGTCTGGCTTTGCTCTCCTACCTTGGGTTGCTGCTCTGGAAAAGCCATGTGAACTCTCCATTAGCCATGTGGAGAGGCTCAAGTGGAGAGGACCTGAGGCCTCCCATCAATAGGCAGCACAGCTTTCTGCCCAGGAGAATAAGCCACCTTTTTAGCGGTGCCCGTTAGCCAAATCTTGAGTCGACTTAGCTACATCAGTATCTGGACACAACCTCTTGAGAGGCGAAAGCCAAATCCACCTTTCCTAAACTCCTGACCCATGGAAATGTGACCGATTCCAGTCACATTTGTGACTATGCAGCAGTAGATAACTAAAGTCATGTATTTCTAGGAGTCCTACTTAAAGAGACAGTTTGAAAGTAAATGGTCAGAAAAAATATGCCTGCAAACAGTAAGCCTAAGAAATCTGCATTTGGCAGAAGACTTAGACAATTCCCCAAGGAAAATAAATGGATGGTAAATAAGCACATGAACAAAACATGTTAAACCATCCTTAGTCATCAGGGAAATGCAAATGAAAACCACACCATGATACCTCTACCTACTGCATGGAATGTTTGAAATGTAAAAAGTGAATGTATGAAATTTTGGTGAGAACACAGAGTAACTGGAAATCTCATGCTGCCAATTGGAACATAAAATGTTACTCCACTCCTAGGTTTTTGCCCATAAGGAAGAAAAAA